CCATAAGCTGGCTTTTTGTCTATGCAGAGTTCCTCTTCCTGTACGCTCATGACCTCTCGGGTCGCCTCTGTATTGAGCGTGAACACAGGGGCATTAGTGGAGTTTGTGCAAAGGGCTTCCTAGAGGAAAGAGCCCATTTTCACATCCTTTTTGTGTGTGAAACTGGTTATTTATACATGTTTTGTATAAAACCGCTGATGCCTCCCCGATCGTTTATGGTCTCAGAAGGATTGTTCCATCTCCTGGTTTGTGGTGTACACGCATGCACTGGTGTGTGTGTGTCTGCTTGTCTTTCCCCGAAACGATCATGTTATGTAACATGCTGTTGCAGCATCCCGCCTCTAGATGGCAGTTTTGTATCTGTGTTAGCCGCCATTGGAAAGTCCAGTTGGAAATTAACTCCTCAGTTGTCTGTTAGGAGAGGAGGTTTTTCAGCAGCAGCAGTGACCCTGTGGCTGTTACTCCTTAAGGGACAGGGGTTCTGAATGACTCACTCTTTGTCTAGAAACTCCTTCCTTCCACCTCTTCATGACGGATCACTCACGCTGCCTCTCTGGCGGAAGCAACCATGCTCAGTGAATCCTACCTCTGTTTAAGCAGTGCCTTCCGCCCGGCTTTGTGAACTAAAGCATCGGGCCCTTTGCTATGGGGACAGCACACCTGAGGGCAGTGAAGTAAACAGAGGCGCGATTCCGCTGCCCGGTGCCCGGCGTGTGCTGAGAACCCAGCGGTTCTGCGTTTCCCTCCGGGGCTGTGCACGTTATCTTCTCCAACAGATGACTCCATTTTTCCTGGTTTCGAACTTCCCCTCCCTCCCCTTCTCACCCTGGTTTGAAATAATATTTGACTTTGCCTTCCTGCTGGTCTGGTTGGAGTGCTGGTCTCAGTGCCATTGACATTTCAGGCAGGAAATAGCCTTTTCCTTCCTCGGAGGGCGTTAGCGCTGCTCTGCCTTGCACGACTGCAGCGGGAGATCGCGCTGCCTTCTGGGGTGCTTCGTGCCCCCCTGTAAAATACGCCGGTCAGGAAGTTCTTGGAGTCTTTGGGATTGGTGCGGTCTGCTCGTGTCATGGAGGTGTTTTTTTTTTGTTTGTTTGTTTTTGTTTTTTTTTTTGTAATTCAATGAGAGGGTATGTTTGCGGTGTGATTCTGCCTAAAATAAGAATGGGATGCGGTGGTTAATGCACCTGATGTGTAGGAGGCTGAGGCAACCCTATTTCTGCTCTTTGCATAATGGAATTTGGAATTGGATTGATTGATTAAGTCAGTTTCGCTGCCAGTTTCTAAATATAAAAGGAGTTTTTTAAAAAAAGGATCTAAACCAAAATTTTGCTGTCATGTGAATCCGAAGAGAAGAAACAACTGAGCCAGTAGATTCCACTTACGTATGGTTCTGTTCCTCCTGAGAGAAGAGTAAAGATGAGCAAAGAACCACAGGACGGGTTTTTGTAGCTTGTTATGAACGGTGCCTACCAGTGGTGCGTTCTCCTTGAACCTGGCTCATCTCTGTGGGGATACTGTCTTCTCCTGGTGTGCTGTGTTCTGGGATGCAGACTCCTGGGTCCCCAGTACCTGGCTTCTGCCGGGCACACAGTGGACACTTTAGGGCCATGCAGTTTAATATACCAAAGATTTCATTGTCTTGGCTTCCTGACGTTTTATGACTTTAGTCTTTTTAAAAATAAAAACCTGAGAGATTTTCTGATACGATTGATACTGTTTACTCCAGTTTACACTGTTGTTATTCCCACGGTCCTAATTATTTTAAGGCCTTTTCTCCCAGAGGAGCAGGGCTACAGGCTTTCAGAGGTCTGACTCTTTCGCTCACTAGGATCACATCCTTTCTGTTCCACTGACTGGAAGTGGCTTCTAGAAACTTCTTAGGGGTTGAGTAGGGTGGCCTCCTCCCTCCCTCTGAGGAGCTAGTCTTCCTGGATCCCAGGGCACGTGTGCTGTGCACATGGGGGCAGTGTCGTGTTGTGGTTCAGATGCTTGCGCTTTGCTGTAGAGCCGGGCACAGCTGGGTTAGGTTCAGGCTCTGGCACTTACCAGCAGCGTGCCGGAGCACAGGTCATTGTCCGAGTCTCCGTTCTCTCACTTTCAGAGGCTTAGTGCCAGTGCCTGCCTCATGCCGTTGCTGTGGTCACGTGGGTGAAGCCCACGGCACGGCACTTGGCCCGTGCTGAGCGCTCAGGAAACCTTAGCGATGCTTCAGAGGCTGCCGGTTTGCAGCGCTGGGCGTCTCTCTCGCTTCCTTCGTCTCGCCTACCTGTCCCCCTACACAGGGTGTCATGGCGTTTTGTGACTTCCTCTCTTGCACTTGCATCTGTAATGCGCAAGGACCTCAGGGTTCGTTACTCAGGGTGCTGAGAGTGGAGCACATTCAGTCGCTCCTGTCCCCAGGTAATAGGTTACTGCTCTCGCCCTCCCCCGCCCCAGGCGATGTGCCAGGTGTCCGAGTGCTGGTGGGAATAGGAAAGTAGCCGGAGACCCTCCTGTGTGGGTGAACCCTGGATGCTCCGCTGAGTTTGTGAGGTGCATGAAGCCTCTGTGTCTCGGGCCTGGTGCATGATGTGACATTATCACGTGCCGTGGTGACCCAAAGTGCTGCTCAGGCAGAGAGAAGCAGAGAAAGATGGGCACAGATACCAGAAGTTGCAACCTGGTGGTCCACAGGCTCATGTGGTCTGGATAGTGTCCAAGGCAGCACTGTAAAACTGGACAGATCTGTCCCTGCTCATCGCACCTTGCTGTGTGCTAGCTTTTGGTCAAGCTGAACGGCAGGTGCCTCCGTCAGCTGCTGTAGGTGCTCTCCACCTGGCCACAGTCCCCACGGCAGAGGTGGGGGACAGTTGCCTCTTTGCCTTGCACTTGAACTCTTGTTTTATTTTTTTTTCCCCCTAGAAGGGAAAACACTTGTTTGTCCTGTGTCTCTATCCAAAACTAAATGTGTGAAAGGATAAACAAAAGGTGGCATATTTTTGAAAAAGTGTTATTTATTTGAGAGAGAAGACAGGAGGGGGGGAGAGAGAGAAGAGAGAGAGACTGACTGACTCTTGTTTGCTGGTTCCTTCCCCAAATGCCTCCAGGGGCTGGGCTGGGCCCTGGTTGGGAACCTGAACCCAGTCAGGGTCTCTCCCATGATGTCACCTGCTGCCGGCAGGGGCAGCTGAGGAGGAAGCTGGGACTGAGACCCAGGCGCTAGACGTCGGAGCTGAATGTCCTGACTGGCGTCTTCACCACCAGCCCAGGCACCCAGGGGTGCATGTTTTAAGGAGAACGAGACCAAGCCTGTTTTCCCTGGGGCTGTCAAGAAGCTGTTTTTCAGTTTCCCTGATGTTCCTTCCTTCCGTGGTCTCTGTAGGCACTTGAATCTGTAATTTCATAAACCGGCACGGAATGGCTGCCCAACTCCAGGAGTTTTCTGCATCGCTTTGGCCCCCTGTGTATCAGTCAAGACCCACACATCCCTGAAGCCTCGGCCTTGCTCAGGAACTGTTGGGAATCCCTTTTTCCAGGAGTGCTTTAGAAACACAGGCCTGCTTCCTCTTGCTGGCACTCGGGAAAGTGTTCTGGCGTGGATGCGGCCCCTTCTCCAAGCCTTCATTTCCCTCTGTCTTCCTGTATGAGCGCCGTGGGGCAGGTTTCACACACAGGCTGTGAGCAGCCTGTGTTTCTGTGGCTGCCACAGTGCCTGTCGCACCCGGAACTTGACCCTTCAGTGCACAGAGCCGTGGCTGGGAGCTGGGGAACGAACTCTGGCCAGCTGAAGATTTATGGTCTTATGAATGAGTGAACCCTCGATCTTGGAGGTTGATTTAGAAAGAGCAGCGCTGTTAGATTCCGAGTGTGTTTGTTCCAGTGGGGTGGAGTTAGGAGCGGCATTTCCTGGTCCAATAGGAAGTGGGCGAGTTGCCAAACCACTGAGCTCACTGTTGTTGACTCAGATTCGGGACTCAGATTAGAGAAGGAAAGCTGTCGAGGAACCCTGGAGTTGGGGCTGGTTGTGATCCTGGCCGCACTGGCTCGAGAGAAGGCTGCGGGTTGACGTCAGTGGTCCCAGGACCCCGGATGTGTTGTACCTGACCCCTTGCTTTCTGTGGGTGTCCTAGGGAGGCAGGGTTGGAGGAAATAAGGTGGTGGGTGCAGCTTGCCTGGTGGCAGGTGGAGGCCTGTTTCCTGCATGGCTCCTGCAGTGTGAGAGGCGGGTGCAGCCTCGAGGAATCGCAGGTCTTTGGTGAGGTCCTCGGGCTGAGCCAGGTCCAGCACTAACACAGGACGTCTGCTCTGTGTCTGCTCCTTCTCTCAGGGGTGTGGCGGGCAGGGGGTAGAGGAAGCTCTTTGGCACGTCGTCCCGAACTCGCTGAAGACTCCTTCCCTGTGCTCCTCAGTTATCACACCCCCGTTTGAAAGAGGAGTGCTGGGCCAGTGTGATGCCTTCTGCAGCAGGAAAGCGGAAACGTGCCAATGTCACCGCCAGCGTGTGCCTGCAGCCTGTCGTGCCTTGTGGTTGAGGTGTGATTTGCAGCGCTGTGTGTGAACGCAGAGGGGTTGGGGGTCTCGTGGAGTAGCAGCTCTTGTGGGTTGTGTCTTTTCCTTGCGGTGGAAGGCCGTGCGCACTTGCCTGTCGCCAGCCCCGATGTTGGCACCCTGTGCTAGCTCCCCGCACTCGCCTCGTGATAACAACGTGGTTTTGGAGCGTTGCCTCTGTGCCTGACACCTTGTAAAGTTTCATCCACCCGCCATTTAACCTCCACGTCACACCCTGAAATTTAACCCTGGCAGTGAGTCTGGGGTTTAAATGCAGATGGTAGATAGGACCAGAGTCCAGATCCCCAGTGAGCCTCCATCACTGATGAGAAGGGTGATCGCAGCAGGTCTTTTACTGAAGTGTGAGCACACTGAAATGCAACATCCTAAGTTTGCAGCTTCATGAATTTCGCATACACATGCACCTGCACGCACACACTTACCTGTGTAAGTCACAGATCAAGGGAGACTGTTTCTGTAACCCAGAGATTCCTCCTGTGCCCCTACCAGGTCATTGCCTATTTCTATTCCCCCGACACACTCACCCTTGTGGCTTCTGTCACTGTCGAGTGTGGCGAATGTTTGCCTGTGAGGTGACTGGCCCCGTACGGCTGTAGCCTGTTGGGTCTGGCTGCTTTTCCTCACAGCATCATCCTTGCTGGGCATCCTGATAGCGCCCATTGGTGTCTTTTCTGTCCCTGCAGTGGAAGCCACAGTTAGGCAGATGCTCCCTTGAGCCCAGGTGAAAGGTCCACGTTCATTATTTCTGAATTAAACAATAATTTTCTTATTGTATTTATTTTTCCTGGGTCCCTGCTAAGCACCACCCTTCAAAGCAGCATAAAGCAAGCAAAACACCTTGCGGCGCCGGCACACCGGGTTCTAGTCCCGGTCGGGGCGCCGGATTCTGTCCCGGTTGCCCCTCTTCCAGGCCAGCTCTCTGCTATGGCCAGGGAGTGCAGTGGAGGATGGCCCAGGTGCTTGGGCCCTGCACCCCATGGGAGACCAGGAAAAGCACCTGGATCCTGGCTTCTGCCATCGGATCAGCACGGTGCGCCGGCTGCAGCGGCGGCCATTGGAGGGTGAACCAACGGCAAAGGAAGACCTTTCTCTCTCTGTCTCTCTCTCTCACTGTCCACTCTGCCTGTCAAAAATAAAAAAAAAAAAATAAAAAAATAAAAAAAAGCAAGCAAAAACCTCAAAGGCCCTCCTCTCAGAGAAACTTGAACTTGGGGTGATAGGATTTGACCTGACTCGGTGGAATCCACATTATTCACCATCTGGCATCTGTTCCCCACTCTCCTCACCCCCAAAACAGAACAAGATCACATATGGAGGAGAACTTGCATTTTGATATTTCTCCTTGAAATGAAAACAAATCCTGTTGACTTTCCTGGTGGTCGAGGCCAAAGTGGCCCTTCCTTCACAGCCCCTGGGGTTGCCCCAACTTCCTCTTTGTGGCTCGGGGTGGAAATTTCCCGCTGTGTGCTTTGCAGTTGCTGTGACATCTGTGAACCCCTGAGATCTTGGTATGTGGGCACCTCTTGTGATCTCACTGTTTCCTAGCAGGAAATGAGCTGAAGACGTGTTGGCTCCTTGCCCCAGTGCAGACAGGAGTGGCTCTGCCCTGCAGCGCAGAGAGACCAGGAAGGAGAAGAGCAGGCAGCTGGGGCCAGCGCCATGGCGCAGTGGGTTAATCCTCCGCCTTTGGGGCTGGCTTCCCATATGGACGCCAGTTAGAGTCCCAGCTGCTCCACTTCCAATCCAGCTCTCTGCTGTGGCCTGGGAAAGCAGTAGGAGATGGCCCAAGTCCTTGGGCCCCTGAACCCGTGTGGGAGACCCGGAAGAAGCTCCTGGCCCCTGGCTTTGGATAGGCTCAGCCCTGGCTGTTGCGACCATTTAGGAAGACAACCAGCAGATAGAAGACCTTTCTCTGTCTCTCCCTCTCACTGTCTGTAACTCTACATCTCCAAATAAATTCTGTCCCGGTTGCCCCTCTTCCAGGCCAGCTCTCTGCTGTGGCCAGGGAAGTGCAGTGGAGGATGGCCCAGGTGCTTGGGCCCTGCACCTCATGGGAGACCAGGATAAGTACCTGGCTCCTGCCATCGGATCAGCGTGGTGCGCTGGCCGCAGCGCGCTGACTGCGGCGGCCATTGGAGGGTGAACCAATGGCAAAGGAAGACCTTTCTTTCTGTCTCTCTCTCTCACTGTCCACTCTGCCTGTCCAAAAAAAAAAAAAAAAAAAAAAAAAAAAGAGTAGGCAGCTGAGGGCCCAGATCTCAGACATAGCTATGTGCCCGGATCCCCGGAGGAATTGTCCACATCCCAGTTCCCAGGCCCAGCCCGCAGCTGAGATTCCATAGGACAGTGTTAGGCTGGGATTCTCCATCCTAGGGGCCCCTTCTAAAGCAGGTGGTGCAGTTACAAGATCTTGAGTAAACTTGGGAGTTCTGTAGTAGACTGTAGCTTTCTAGGCGTTTAGTTTCAAGGCCATAAAAACTTGGTGCCTGGGTTTTTGAAAGGTGGGAGGGTAGAATCAAGCCCCTGTGCCCCCAAGCCGGAGGCTGAGCTCCATAACTGCAGCTGTGGGCACCAGGGAGGATGGCCCTGGTGATGGGCTATGGTAGGACATGGGCCCTTGGGTCTGGGAGTGAGACTTGCTGAGAAGAGGAAGGAGAGCCTGGCAGGTGTCCTGGACAGTAATTTCAGCTTCTGAGTCCTGTGGTGTCGTGGGCCAGGGCCTGCTGTGGCCATCAGCAGCCCTTCTTTCCTCTACACACCCACCCAGTCACCGTCCACTCACCTTGTCCCACGCACATGCTCACGTGTGCTCTCTCTCTCTCTCTCTCACACACACACACACTTGCCTGTTCACACATTCCCAGCTCTGTTCGGATGCCCTCAGGATCCCCATTCCCTCTGGACTTACGTGCTTGCATCTTTGCGTGATTTTTTCCCCTTAAGGGATGTCGAGGAATGATCACCGGAAAAGCACAGCGTGGTATTTCAAGTATGTTCCACGTGGATAGATCCAGCATGTTCACAGGAACTGTGGAGAGAAGCAGGAGCACAGATTAGTGGTGGGTCAGGGCGAACAGGTTTGGGTGCTCTGGGGCCAGAGCTTGTGCTGCTCAGGGTGTTGCCTGTCCTGTGTGTGTGTTTTATTTTCCTCTACTTGAAAGGCGGAATGGCAGGGGGAGAGAGAGAGCGAGCGAGCAAGCTTCCATCTACTGGTTCACTCACCAAATGCCTGCAATAACCAGGGCTGGGCCAGGCCAAAACCAGGAGGGCAAAGCCAGGAGCCCAGAACTCCATCCAGTTCTCCCACGTGGGTGATGGGCCCAAGTACTTGGGCCGCTTCCCAGGATGCAGGAGCAGGGGATGTGGATCAGAAACAGAATACCCAGGACTTGAACCAGCATTCTGATATGGGCTGTAGGCGTCCCAAGCAGGGGCTTCACCGGCTGCGTCCCCATGCACACCCCCACGGCCTGTGTGTCTTGAGCCCTGCCTTGCTGGTGCAGGTCAGCAGTGCTTGTGGGCTCTGGGCAGTAACAGGACTTCAGTTCTGGCTCAGTTGCTCCTGTACACCTTTGAGGCTCCTCAGACTTGAAAGCAGAGCACCTCAGCCCGCAGTGCTTAGCTCATGACGGACAGTTTGAATTTGTTGCACAGAAAAATATACCTCCACTTTGAGGGGAGGTGGTGTTTGGACACTAGGATCCGCCTGTGGACCCCCAGTGAATAACCCATGCTTGAATGAGCTTTGAAGGTTTGTAGCCACATCTCCTGAGGTGGTTTTTCTGGCTCAGCCTCTCTTTCTTGTGTGGTGCCATTTGTGATGGGGACTTCATCGCCACCCCTGGACGCGGGGTGCCTGCTTCCTGGAGGGTTGTGCTGCTGCAAGAAGGCAGGTGTCAGGGACAGCGACAAGAGCCAGTACGTGCAAAGCATGGAGCACCTGCCATGCTAAATAGTCATTACAAAAAAAAAAGACATACATTTAGTGTAATTAAATGTACCAGGCTGATTATTCTTCACATCAAAAGCAGTTTAGAAGCTTTAGACTACTAGATGGTAGGAGACTCAGATACCTCCAGCTTGGGGAGTTTTCTTTTTCTATTGACTTCAATAAGTTTATTGTATTTGTGCCCCACTCTGTGGGGGCCAGTGCTGTGGCGCAGTAGGTTAATGCTCCGCCTGCAGTGCCAGCATCCCATATGGGTGCCGATTCTAGTCCCAGCTGCCCCTCTTCCAGTCCAGCTCTCTGCTATGGCCTGGGAAAGCAGTAGAAGATGGCCCAAGTGCTTGGGCCTCTGCACCCATGTGGGAGACCAGGAAGAAGCTCCTGGCTCCTGGCTTCGGATCGGCGCAGCTCCGGCTGTTTTGGCCATTTGGGGAGTGAACCAATGGAAGGAAGACCTCTCTGTCTGTCTGTCTGTCTGTAACTCAACTCTCAAATAAAATAAATTAAAAAAAAAAAAACACTCTGTGAAACCTTGTGGAGGAATGTGTAAGATTTCAGGGAATGACCCAGGTCTAATGACATCGCTTTACCCGTCTGTGCTCCTTACCTGTCAAGTGCGGTCAGCTCTCCCGTGTTGCTTCCTACCGGTCTGAGGGTGACCAGCTTACTGCCATGGATTCCAGGGCGGTGGCTGCTTTCTGAGTCTGGAGTTGGCTTTGAAAAGCAGGCTGCTGCACCTCGCTTTGTGGTGCTGACCCCAGCACCCTGTCCCTCTACTGAGTAGGTGTTTGTTGAAGGATCCTTTGCCAGTCCCCTCTCCCACGTGGCACTGAGTTCATAACCGGGTCCCTCCTTTCTCTGCAGGCCAGGGGTTATCACCATGCAGGCATTGTCGGAAGAGGACCGGAGGCTCTGGATGGAAGCCATGGATGGCCGGGAACCCGTAAGTAACAATTCAGGGAAGCAGAGCGAGAATAAAGCTCCTGAATGGTTTGTTGCTTTCCCAGTGCCCTGAGTTTTTGCTGCTGTTCTAAAGCCAGGGGATCCTTAACACTGATACAGCAGAGGCAATTTTTGTGGGAATTAACATTGCATCTGTGAGCCTGTGCTTGCTGAGTGTTGGGCTCACAGTCCTAAGCCGCGGGTTCTGCTGGGTGCTACACCAGCACTCCCCACCTTGCAGAGGCAAGTGCAACAGCCCTTGGTCTCTTAAAGGTGCTGGAGTCCACTGTGGTTTACTGAATGCTTATAGATGTGTCCGTGAAACTGGGAAGGCGTTATCTCAACTCCATTTTAATGGGATAAACAGTCATAAAAGTATACAGTGATCTGGTTCTTATCATTACATTTTGGTTTAGCCTCCCATTGGCATAGTAACTCACACCCTTTTATAAGCAGTAGGCCTTTATCAGAGTGGAAGAAAGGAGAGAAGCCTGGTGGCGTGATCTGTGGTTGTTCTGTAGCTGGTGACGTAAAACTCAAATGACGACTTTGGGGAAGTCCCATGGTAGTCCTCCATCTTGGTGTCAAGGATCCCAACCTCAGTGTTCAGTCAGTTTCAAAGCTAGAAAAATCCCAAGAGTGCAGTCTCACCATGTCCTGTCAACAAATGATAAAAAGAATCCCCAGTCTAGGTTGCTATGTCATAGAGATGCCACACTGTAGTGGCTCAGGTGAGGTAGAAGTGTGTTTCTGTCTCAGAGCCTGGCAGTGGGCAACCTGCCACTAGGGTAATCCTGCCATCTCCAACCCATGGCTTCCCAGGTTGCCCCAGTCACTGCCATTTTCCAGCCAGAACATGGAGGTGAAAGCACCCAGGGCAAGCATAGAGAAAGGCCCGGAAGGTACACACATCACTTCTCTTGGTCCAGACATACTGATGTGGCCATGTCTGTCTGCAAATGAGGATGGAGAATCTAGACTGCAGATTGGCAGCCGTGAGTGCTGCCTGAGCCCCGGGCACATTAGTGATTTACAGAAGAAGTGAAAGGACAGTCTCTACCATCGTAGCAAAAGCTGAACCCATTTCTAGCCCTAGGTACATTTGGTTTCCATCTTACGTCTTGCCACCTGAGAATTCTCAGTTCATTCTTACAGTCCCGTCTCTGATTCTCTTGAAAGAGTTTTCAACCTAGAGGGGAGGAAATAGCCAGGAAGGAAACCATGCTTGGTTCGGGCGCAGAACTCACTGCCGTCGTCCCCACCCCCACCAGCCGGAGCTGGGACACGGCCTCGCCAGCTCTGTTTCGAGCCTTCCTTGCTTCGCACTCCTCTCTGCCCCTTGATGTTTGTTCCCAGTCTATGTATAATTGGTCTCTTACTGACCACTTCAGTTTCCCTGTAGACTAACATCTGGCCCCTACAGATGGAAAGCGTGCTGTTGAAAGAAACATCCCCCTGCCCCAGAACGTACACATTAAAACAAGTTTAAACACAAAATTATTCTGTTTCTAAACATGATATAAAATTATTTCCTCATAGGGACATATTGCTTGAATTAAACCCCATTCTTCCATGTGCTTTCTGGTGTCCCAAGGCGAGAGATCAGGACAGACGATGGTGACTGCGAAGTCGATGGTAATACTGGGCTGATGAATCCTGGCTCCCACTCCCGAGAGCCTCTAGGGAGCAGCACTGGCGCTGTTTGCCCAGTAGACAATTAGCAGCTCCAGTTTTAATCCCCATCTCCTGGAGTGGTCACATCTGTCCCTTTGGGAGTTTTGGCTTCCTCTAGTTCTTTCTCTGCCGGGTCTCAGAGCAGTTCTCTTATTGCAGAGAGCTCTCGTAGGGGTCCCTATCTTTTGCTTTTATATTTCTGTGTCAGGTGTCCTGTGTTAGATTGTTTAGTGTTGGATTTTTGTTTTGGCAGGGGGAGAGTTTTGGGGTCTGTCATTTTGTCCTGTAATGTTCAATATTGCCTTGGGGTGACTGGCTAAAAGCATTCCTAGATGAACCCCTACTGGTTGATTTGGCAGCATTGTAGTTAATCATTCAGCAAGTCATGGGTAGTGTCTTTTTCTCTTTTGTCTTATAAAGCACACAGTCACATTCTAGTCTAAATAAGTGTTGTAAGTCTTTTTGCTATTGATGAATGTATAAGGCAAGGAGAAATTAGAGTTGTGTTTCAGAAGTGAATATTGAGGATTTTGTCTTTGTCATGAATTTGAATTCTTTTTGTTCAGAAAAAGGAAACCCAACTGAAGCTTGCTTGAGAAAAACCCTGGACTTATTGGGCAGTGGGACTGAAAAGTATTTGGGTGTGATAGCTTCCAGCATGTCTTAATCTGGGAGTTTATGTAATGCACTTGGGTTGATTTTATGCTTTTGCGTTGGCTTCGTTTCCCAACATGTTCTTTCCAAAATAGAGTGGTGAGATGCTTCCTAACTCCTGCAGGCTTACCTCCTATTATTAAGTGCAAAGATTGGCAAACATTTTCTGCAATGAGCCAGATTGTATTTTAGGCTGTGTGGCCCTGTGGTCGCTATTGCAGTGCTGTAACTTTGCTGTTGTAGCTTGGAACCGACCATGGGCAGTATGTACGTGCCTGAGTACATCAGTGTTTTAGTAAAACTTTATTTGTAAAAACAGATGGCGGGCCGGGTTTGGGTCAAGGACCTTAGGTTGTTGATCTCTTTATTAGTGGAGAAAGACCTTTCGCACAATAATGCCAAAGAAGTTCCCTGTTTCAATTTGATTGGACTACCTACTTGGCCCAGATGGTGGGATAGATGAGTTGAGCAAACTTGATCCACCTGCCCTCTACATTGGAACCATTAAATGGTGAGGGACACTTGGCTTCCCCTGAGAAGAACCTTATATTTGGGAGGCGGGAGGCACGAGGTAGGCAAACACAGTTTCTCTTGACTCTGACTATATTCCATTAAATTTTATAGTCAAAGAGTTTGCTCTTTGGTGCTTGGCCAAGGGTGAAAAACCACAAGATTACCAATAACTTCATATTTAGAGTGAAACACTGAGTGCTTTTCCCTAGGACTGGGAACAAAACAACAGTGTTTGCTCTCACAGCATTTATTCATCATATTCCTGGAAGTCCTGGTCAGTGTGGCTGGGCAGTGGAGGATTGTAAAGCGCATACAGCTTGGGAATGAAGGTAGAAAGTTCCTCCTGTTTGCAGAGAGCATGATTGTCTATGTAGAAATCCCAAGGACTACACAAAAAACTTCTTAGAACCTGTAGGTGAGTTCAGCAAGGTCAGAGTATAAGAGATTAAAACACATTCCAGAATTAATCTTGCTTCTCTAAACTCGCCATAAACACATGGTGACCAAGGTTGAAAAGCTTAACACTATTCCTAGTCACCCTCCCCTAAAATGAAGTGCTTAGCTATAAATCTAATTAAGCATACAGAGCATCTATATGCTGGGCATCTATATGTTGAAAAAAACCAAAGAAGATGTAAATAAATGGAAAGACATACTGTGTACATGCGTGAGAAGACTCCACTTCTCCTGAAATTGACCTGTAGGTTTCATTTAATCCTTATCAAAATCCCAGCATATATTTTTATAGCTAGAGATAAGCTTATTCTAAAATTTATGTATAAAGGCACAGAAACTGAATAGCTAAAATTATTTTGAAAAAAATGAACTGGGAGCAATTGCTCTACCCTATTTTACGATTTCATTTATCATTAAAATAATCATGACTGTGGTATTGACAGAGAGATAGACACATAGATGAAGGGAACAGAATTAAGAATCCAGAAATGGATAAATACGCCCAACTGATTGTAGACAGAGGTACAAAGGTGGTTTGATGCAGGAAGGATAGTTTTTTTTTTTTTTTTAACATAGAATGTATTTTAAACAATGGATATCCATAGGAAAAAAAGAACAAAAATTAATTCAAAATGCATCACAGATTTAAATGTAAAATGGTAAATCTTTTAGAAGAGTGTGTAGGAGAAAATTCTTGGGATCTAGGGCTATGTCAAGAGTTTTTGGAAATAACACCACAAGTATGACCTATATGATAAAAAGTGGATACATTTTTCTTCATCAAAGCTAAAAACCTGGGGTCAGTGCTGTGGCATAGCAGGTATAGCCACTCCCTGCAGTGCTGGCATCCTGTATGGGCGCCAGTTTGAGTCCTGGCTGCTCCACTTCCATCCAGCCCTCTGCTATGGCCTGGGAAAACAGTAGAAGATTGTGGGGAGCAACCGGACTAGACTAAGTTACTGGAATTAAGACTTATTCTATGCATCTGCTCTCCCACAATATGGCGCTGGGAGAGGAGAAAACAGCTTCTACACAGCTGCCTCCAGTTCAGCCAATAAGCTGTAGGACTTGCTCCTGATTGGAGGAGAGCAGCGTACTCGGCGTGTGGGCAGCCGAGTTGGGATTGGCAGAGGACGACTATAAAGGAGGAGAGAGACGGCATGCACCAGGAACATCTAAGGGGAACACCTGTGCAGCCCCCGAGAGAGCCGGCCGGCGGTGTGCCGCTCCCCTGCGGAAGTGGGGAATGTGGCCAGGGGGAACTGCCCTTCCACGGAGGTGGAAGGGACAGTAGCCAACCCGGGAAGAACCAGCAGCAAACCCGGGGAGGGCCGAGCAGACGAAAGAACAGCGCAGGGTCCTGTGTCGTTCCTCCACGAAGAGGGGGAGCGACAGAAGATGGTCCAAGTTCTTGGGCACCTGGAAGAAGCTCCTGGTTCCTGGCTTTAGATCAGCCCAGCTCCAGCCATCGTGGCCATTTGGGGAGTGACCCAGTAGCTGGAATACCTCTCTCTCTCTCTCTCTCTCTCTCTCTCTCTCTCTCTCTCTGTTTCGGCCTCTCTAACTCTTCCTTTTAAATAAGTAAATAAATACTTAAAAAAAAAAACTAAAAACCTTAGCTTTGTCTGAAAAAGACCTTGTTAAGAGGATGAAAAGCATAAATCTGAAAAGGGACTTATATCTAGAATCTAGAAAGTAGTCTCA